TCATATCGAAAACACAGAGCTTCTGGAGGCAAAACAATGGTCAGGTGTCCATTTTATCGCAGTCTAGACAGAGCACTGGGACATGAATCAAGGAATGACACGTATAAATAGACACAAGTAACCAACCAGGACACACAGCACCCAGATCAGACCGTCACTGTTCCGCTGGTGCAATGCTAACTGTGAGTGGAAAATCAGAGCTGCCACGTCCTTTGCACTTCAAGTAGACACCCCCCCCCCCAACCTCTAATTGATACTTCCGTGTCGCAGTTCTCGCTCTAATTTCCAGCTACTACGAATCAATAATTCGTGAAACGAAATTCCGCGATGGTTCGAACCCGCTTTGGCCACATATTACGTGCGCATCTGAAATTCTCTTTCCAGGAATTTGGAGACAAGGCAACAATAACATTAGAAATGACGTGTTATTAAACAAATGACAACTGCGGCCGCATATCTGTGCTGTTAACCTTACACAACATTAAGAGCTCGCCACAGAACTTCCATCTGTAAATTAAATATCCCGCAGACACCGCTAGTAGATACTCGGCTGAATAAATAATAAACGAGGTGTTCAACAAACAAACGATACTTCTTAGAATATATATTTTCAAAGAACATCCACTGGGAGTTGTATAACTTGCATATTAATGATAATTTATGCTAAAAGGTTGATTTGCCCTGTCATCTTAGAATACGTTTCCTTGAAGAAGAAGAAGAAGAAGAATAAATACTGTCACACAAAAGGATATATAAGTGCTGTCCATGTCCGTGACTTCACTATTTACTCGGTATTCGCGTTCCTGAGAATGACTTACATGGAGATCTGATATAAACTCCAAATTGACAAACTGTACGCATTTATTCCTGTTATACAACTCTATCCATGTTATATAAACAGTTTTAACGGCCCTGCATCCACCAGTCTATTTGAACGCCACGTCGTTGTCCGCCATGTTGCCTGTTTACTGGTCGCGAAATTGCGTTCAAGTGTGACCTAAAACGTCAGAGGCCAAATGAAATAATTTGCACAGCCTTCAACTGCTTCAAACCGAAACGCCTGTTGTGAAAATGACTACACAGATTTCTCTGCAGTTAGCTAAATTAAGAAATTAACTTGAATTAAACGTACTTTCGAAAATCAAAGGTTTTCAATTTGAGCTCAAGTTCCCTACGTTTGTGAATCAATCCAAAGACTCATGTCTGACACCTGTGTTTAGGGGGAAGAACTAACACTCCAAAGTATCTTTAATTCTATCAGGAGCTCAGATGGTGAAAA